TCAATTATAATGAATTATAATGAAGCTATGAAAACACAGTAAATACCAAATTTGTAATGAGTTTAGGTTGTAATTACAAAATTACAGTTTCTCTTAGTTCATCAGATCCCCTTATTCATGCACCTTCAGGTGACAGTTGGGTGTATGTAGGATGCACCTTCTGGTGACAGGAGGGTGTAGGTAGGAGGCGCCTTCACGTGACAGTTGGTTGTATGTAGGATGCACCTTCAGGTGACAGTTGGGTGTATGTAGGATGCACCTTCTGGTGACAGGTGGGTGTAGGTAGGATGCACCTTCAGGTGACTGATGGGTGTAGGTAGGATGCACCTTCTGGTGACAGGTGGGTGTAGCTAGGATGTACCTTCAGATGACAGTTGGGTGTAGGTAGGATGCACCTCCAGGTGACTGGTGGGAATAGGTAGGATGCACCGCCAGGTGACTGGTGGGAATAGGTAGGATGCACATTCAGGTGACTGGTGGGTGTAGGAAGGTTACACCTTTTGGTAACAGGTGGGTGTAGGTAGGATGCACCTTCTGGTGACAGGTGGGTGTAGCTAGGATGCACCTTCTGGTGACAGGAGGGTGTAGGTAGGAGGCGCCTTCAGATGACAGTTGGTTGTATGTAGAATGCACCTTCAGGTGACAGTTGGGTGTATGTAGGATGCACATTCAGGTGACTGGTGGGTGTAGGAAGGTTACACCTTTTGGTAACAGGTGGGTGTAGGTAGGATGCACCTTCTGGTGACAGTTGGGTGTATGTAGGATGCACCTTCTGGTGACAGGAGGGTGTAGGTAGGAGGCGCGTTCAGATGACAGTTGGTTGTATGTAGAATGCACCTTCAGGTGACAGTTGGGTGTATGTAGGATTCACCTTCTGGTGACAGGTGGGTGTAGGTAGGATGCACCTTCAGGTGACTGATGGGTGTAGGTAGGATGCACCTTCTGGTGACAGGTGGGTGTAGGTAGGATGCACCTTCAGGTAACCGATGGGTGTAGGAAGGTTACACCTTTTGGTAACAGGTGGGTGTAGGTAGGATGCACCTTCTGGTGACAGGTGGGTGTAGCTAGGATGCACCTTCTGGTGACAGGAGGGTGTAGGTAGGAGGCGCCTTCAGGTGACAGTTGGTTGTATGTAGGATGCACCTTCAGGTGACAGTTGGGTGTATGTAGGATGCACCTTCTGGTGACAGGTGGGTGTAGGTAGGATGCACCTTCAGGTGACTGATGGGTGTAGGTAGGATGCACCTTCTGGTGACAGGTGGGTGTAGCTAGGATGCACCTTCAGATGACAGTTGGGTGTAGGTAGGATGCACCTCCAGGTGACTGGTGGGAATAGGTAGGATGCACCGCCAGGTGACTGGTGGGAATAGGTAGGATGCACATTCAGGTGACTGGTGGGTGTAGGAAGGTTACACCTTTTGGTAACAGGTGGGTGTAGGTAGGATGCACCTTCTGGTGACAGTTGGGTGTATGTAGGATGCACCTTCTGGTGACAGGAGGGTGTAGGTAGGAGGCGCCTTCAGATGACAGTTGGTTGTATGTAGAATGCACCTTCAGGTGACAGTTGGGTGTATGTAGGATGCACATTCAGGTGACTGGTGGGTGTAGGAAGGTTACACCTTTTGGTAACAGGTGGGTGTAGGTAGGATGCACCTTCTGGTGACAGTTGGGTGTATGTAGGATGCACCTTCTGGTGACAGGAGGGTGTAGGTAGGAGGCGCGTTCAGATGACAGTTGGTTGTATGTAGAATGCACCTTCAGGTGACAGTTGGGTGTATGTAGGATTCACCTTCTGGTGACAGGTGGGTGTAGGTAGGATGCACCTTCAGGTGACTGATGGGTGTAGGTAGGATGCACCTTCTGGTGACAGGTGGGTGTAGCTAGGAGGCGCCTTCACGTGACAGTTGGTTGTATGTAGGATGCACCTTCAGGTGACAGTTGGGTGTATGTAGGATGCACCTTCTGGTGACAGGTGGGTGTAGGTAGGATGCACCTTCAGGTGACTGATGGGTGTAGGTAGGATGCACCTTCTGGTGACAGGTGGGTGTAGCTAGGATGCACCTTCAGATGACAGTTGGGTGTAGGTAGGATGCACCTCCAGGTGACTGGTGGGAATAGGTAGGATGCACCTCCAGGTGACTGGTGGGAATAGGTAGGATGCACATTCAGGTGACTGGTGGGTGTAGGAAGGTTACACCTTTTGGTAACAGGTGGGTGTAGGTAGGATGCACCTTCAGGTGACAGGTGGGTGTAGGTAGGATGCACCTCTAGGTGACTGGTGGGAATAGGTAGGATGCACATTCAGGTGACTGGTGGGTGTAGGAAGGTTGCAAACTTTGGTAACAGGTGGGTGTCGGTAGGATGCACCTAGACTGCCAAATTAACAGGTGCATGTTTTCTCGCTCCTAATGTACTGCATCGGATTTGATACAAATACAAATACGTATTTGTTTCTGTATTATATCCGGTGCAGTAGATAAGGAGCGAGAAAATTTGGCGGTTTTAGTTTGGTAATAGACAAGCAAGCAGAGGGTAAAGAGCGATAAAACTAAAACAAAATATCTAGTTTTCTTCGGTATATTTGATGGAATCTGAAATAACAATAGCAAATAATAAAACTGGTAAAAGGGGTGTTCTTGTTTTTTGTACAGTTTTTGCTTTAGATTTTCTATAAAACTAACAGCAATTGTATAAGGTATTAGTTTGCGATAAATTTTTTTATTTGAGTATGTATTGAATGTAAAAAGAGAGGAACTGTATTGTAATTAGGCCCAGGATAATATGTTATAACGGATTAATCCTTTGATTTTTTGACAATTACAACTGATTCTAATGACCAATTTGTTTGTTAAAAGGGCTTTGTAATCAATTATATTGGTGACATTTTGCATAGTCCGTTTAATTTATTTCCGCATTTCATTTTGAATTTTTTTACTGTGGGAAATACACCTAAAATGTGCAACATGAAACATATCGAGAAGAAATGAAAAAAGTAAATGTTTGATACTTGAATTGAATTTAAAAGTGCTACAATAGTTTTCCTGTTTTCCACATAAGCCAAATTATAAAAAAAGCTTGAAAGTTACGCAAATCAAACGCAATGTTGAAAACAGAATGGGCAAACAAAAGCGATTATAGTCGATTATATTCAATAATAGTGGATTTTTTGCGCAAAATTCATGAATTAGAAATTGAACTAAAATAATCCATCATAATTGTTTCAAAAATTAGATTCATTAGAAATTGATTATAGTCGATTAAAATTAAATGTAAGTGATTATGGTTTGATTTCAAAAAATGTGGTTGTAATGTTGAATAATCGATCGAAATCATTTTTTTCTCAATTTAAGTTAAACTGCCCGGTTTGAAGTCTATACAAAAAATGCTTAACATTTATTTATATATCTGAAGTCTATGGAAAAATGTTCATCAAAAGGTTTTGATACGATAACTTAAACATATTCGAAAAACTTTTAGCACAGATTTTTTTTCTATTCAGCCTTAAAAACTTTCTGGTCATAAACGAAAAAACTGATTTTTTTTTGGACGAAAAAAGCGTGTCATACAATTTTCATTTATTGGAAATTTCGTGAGAAGCATTGTTTCATAGGAAAAGTAAATTTTCAAATAATATTAAAAAATGCTTTCAAGTGATTTTGATTGGTTTTAATATTGATTTTGGTATTTTGAGAGTTTTTGACTGTCAAAATTCTAATTTTTCTAATGGAAAAAACGCTTATCATACAATTTTCATACATGTGAATTTTATGATATGCAATTTGACACAGTAACAAAAAAAATTGATGTGAAATTATTTTGATCCCTGTTTTGCTTGCAAACTTGCTTCTGTGCTCAGATATGTTTTTAGAAAAAACGCTTGCAAAATTTGATTTTTTATGTCCCTAAGGTAGCCCAGGTTGAGTTTTTTCATCCAAAAAATTCAAAAATTACAAGCAAGTTTTTTTGATAAAATCAATTATTTTTTTTGTTTTTTATGGTAAAATAAACATATTTATGGTGAAATAAACATATCATTTTAAAAAAAACACGCCTTTTTTCTCAAACCAAATTTTTCGATGCCAAAATTTGCTAGCCACATGCAAAAAGTTACGTTTTTGGTATATACTTATGTGCGAAAAGGTTAACATTAACTTAGATGGCTAATGTCACGAAAATCAGTTTATCTGCGTGGTAACTGCCAGCTACACCCTGGTTTTTTATAACAGAAAATTTATGGTTTGTGTGTTTTGGATGAAACACAAAAATTAAAAAAAAAACATTTTTTTTTTGTATTTTCTTTAATGCAAAAAATGTCTATCCTAAGTTTCATAGTATGAAAAAAAAATATCACTCAACTTCATACAAGCGCGGATTTAGGGGGGAGGGGTGCCGACACCTCTCCCTCAGGGATTTTGAACCCTCACCAACCAAAGACCCCCTTTTGGTATTATTTTTTACATCCATTTTCGGCCGACCAATCTTACAATTTTTCTGATATGGGCGCTAACTGTGAATCTACTTTTCAAAAATGTTCCGGCGGAAATGGGGGGGCTCAGAAAATCGTTTCGGTCAACCTGAAAAAAGTTCAACCAAAATTTCAAAAGAAAGAGTTTGAAAATCCGCCCTTCTCAAGAAAATTCTGGATCCGCCTCTGATTTCATAGAATGTTTGATGGAAAATATGGCAATGAGCTTCTTATTAAATTCTAGAATGTGGCAAAAAATGCCTGTTATAAGTTTTCTTAGTCTGAAAAATATGCTTATTTTGCTATTTTCATACAATTGCTTTTGGTGTATGAATTTGTATGAAATAGTATGATAAGCAATTTTTTATAATATGGAAATTGTATGATAAGCCTTTTTCATTAACCCGCGTGGTACTTAAATCATAATATAATCAATGATTACGCATGAAACTGGATGCGGGACCAATTGCGCAGTTTCTAAAATAGCATGATTCACTACGTGTAAAAGTACACTTGAGTGAAGTTGTATTTTCAGATATTACCGAAGGACTTCAATCAGGCATTACTCGATCCAGTTATCAGCTTCTGGTAGACGTGCAGAGACTTCAAGCGTTTCTGATATTAATAGTTAGAAAGTCAGACAATGCAAATAATTTTTCACACTTTATCGAACTTCACAGACTACTTGGGCAAGTGACACCGTTCAACATAGTTACACCAGTAGTATTATTGGCACAAGGAGTAAGCAAAGACATTCAAACCCTGCCTCGTGAAGAAGACATCGTCAACCTTCAAATAGTATCTGAGAAGGATGATTTAACTAGTTTGGTGCCAAAGCCACACCACGAGGCACATGGTGATGATGGATTCAAGTATCTTGTCGCCTTGCTGGTTTTCTTGGCACCAAGATTCAACAGCTTAACGTTGTGCACGAGAGAGTTAAAGCCTCCTAATCCAGCAGATTGCGACAGATCATTCAAGTTAAATGTAAGATCAGCTGTTCGCAGTGTACATTTTTACGTATATTTGAAGTATCTGTATTTTGATGTGATGTGTAAGTTTCTTCTGTTCAGGACATTGAACAAGTTTCCCGTCTCGTGGACTACTATTTTCAAAATCTGAACGGACCGGTTCAGTCAGTACCAAGAATCGACGATATCCCAGGTATACAACGAACCAATTTGCATAGAAAGAGCTTGATTGACAAGACCAGTTGACTGTGAATAGTTTTGTTTTATAGGAGGTGTATTGTACGGCCACTGTGATGAAGAAGGAAACCCGTGTATCCCACGTGGTGATACTTACAAAGAGTCGGCTTATAAAGGTGAGTCGGCTCTTCATATTTGAACTTGTTATGTGTGACGCGCTTTTCTGCTTGGAAGTTTTCTTTTCTACATGCATTGTTATGGACATTCAACCACATCACGATTTCACAATCTCATTTTAGCTATCAGCAAACCAGATTGTCCCAAGCCCAGCAATCTTTGCAATCTTGGACAAATCTAGAAGATTTTTTGAAAAATCTCCAAGAAAAATCTTTAAAAACTTGGTAAAATTGTGTCAAGAATCTTGAAGATCGGTTATCATTTTTCAGAAAACTCCAAGAAATTTTAAGAAAAAAAAAGATAGCAAAGATTCTTGAAGAGTTAAAAAGATTTTTTTTTGAAATCCAGGGTTGCGAGTGCTTGTAAAAGATGTAAAAGTTGTTTGAATTGACAATTATGAGCTATAAAATGAAGAATTGCGACCACGAGCTAACATAATCATCAGTACAAAACTCAATACTGACTCGAAGTTTTTTTTGAAAGAGTTGCTGATAATTTTTGGCTTCAAAAATTGAGGCATTAGCAAATCATCTGAATATCAAGACATGAGCAGCAAAATGAAGCACTGCGACCATGAATTAACTAAAAACCATCAGTAAAAATTTCATATTTTTGCTCAAACAATTTGAAAATTGTTTGATGATTTTCAGTTCCAAAGCAAATTCAGGCAGTCAATTGAAGCAATAGCAAATCAATTAATTCTACTGACATATGCATTAAACTGAAGCCTTGCGACAATGAATTAACAAAAAGTATTTAACTTTTTTGCTAATAAAACAATCACCAGTTTTAAACACAGAGGAGAAACAGAACTTCGGGACACTTGCGTTACAACTTAAAATCAGTAGAGCACGCTGGCAGAAAAGAAAGAGAGCCGCTAAGTCCAAAAAACTAGAGAAAAAACACTTCAGAAAATCAAAATTTATAATAATCAAAATGTTGTCTGGAGTCTTGTTCTATTTGCAGAGAAAACGTCCAGAAAAAACGGCAATTAATGAAAACTCTTAAAATAATTAACAAGCGGCAACTGAGTCGAAGAATTGTGAGTACTTTTTCATAAAAATTAAAATTTAATTGTCGTCATGAAAAATTTTTTACTATAAGTTTAGCTACAATCATAATAATTTAGGCATTTTGGGCAAAATGGGGTAAAGCTCAAAACTCATGCCACTTCCGAAATGACCACTAATTAGGTCATTAAGCCGATACAAAATCATTAAAACCGAATTTTCAAGCAAAAAAAGTCTCGTACCCGATTGCAAAACCCTAGCGTAGTGCAAGGGTTATAACAAACAGACTAGCATTTCATTAATCAAGGAATTTCTACAGAAAACTGTAGAAAATTACAAATGTCAGCATGAATTAAGCGTTTAGTTTCTAGCGAGCGGTCAATAAGCCAAAGATATGTGGGCAGTCACCAATTCAGCCCAACACAAACAAAAAATTCACAAAAAGTGTTTGCATTTTAAGATCAGCGACTAAATTTCAAAACTTTCAACTTTCACACCACAGCTGACCACTGAGTCAAAATAATTTTGACGTTGTTCTCTATTTGATGAAGTACCCAGCCTTCTGATAACCTTATCATCAGAAAAGACTTTCCATACAAACAAGAAGCTGAGCTAGATCTAAAAAATTAGATCTATTCAAATGAATAAGGCTAAATTTGAAACCAAAAAACGTCCAGACGACAAAAAGTAAATAAGCCTCGACAGAAAACTAATTAAGCGGCAACAATCCGAAAAAAATTTCAAGCTGAAAAAAATTCAACAAGACTTATAAGAATTTATTAGGCCCCCTCGCCCTCAAACACGCACACAAAGTTTTATTTGGGCATCAAATGAAAGAATACGAGTCCACTAAGCCGATATACTTTAAGCAAAAACCTATTGCGCCGGAAAAAAACTAATTAAAACATAAAAAAGCAGAAAAAGAATTCCAAATTTAAGACAAATAAAAACCTATTAAGTCGCCCTCAAGATCAGAACATTTACACAATATAAACACTTTTTCGCTCGTCGAAAAAAATAAGACATTTTTAGGCCGCTAACCGTTGTATTATAGGCCGAAACATATCAAGTTGAAAATATAGGAAAGAGAGAAAAAATAAAAAAAGAAATGTTGACATATCGATTTGGTAAAATTACAAACAACATAGAAAGAGAAACTTGAATAGGACAGATATTTAAAAAGCTAACATGTACAGCATATATCTGTCGTGGTAAGTTTTTTGCTAACAGAGTCTTTGGAAAAAAGAAGTGTACTACTCGATTGCAACACCCTTGTTTATCGCAAGGGTTACACAAACAGACCAGCATTTTCACGAACCGAAAATTTTTTACCTAATTTTATCCATATATCGATTTGAACAATGGAAGCAAATTTGCCAATTTTTTTTAATTCAGATAAAAATGTCGTATTTACACAAGATTTCAAGATTTTCCATTGAAAAAAGAACACTATGAAAAACAATGCAAGGAAACTTGGCCACTTCGTTTGTGTTAAGAAAGAAAAAAAAAATAAGTTATCCGGTCACTCATAACCTGAAATGAACAATTCATTGTTAGTAATTTTTAAAATGAGACTCGGAGAGGAAAGACACCGGAGCTATATGGTCCACAAACTCCTAACCTAACTATTCATTTTTCTTTGACTATACAGAAAAGGTCTAATTTAAGAAATTTTTTTTGGTTAAAAATTCGTAAAAGCATCCCTATCTCCTAAACTACGAGATTCTGGACTGTCAAGTGTTGGCATTCGAATCAAAATTCCAAACTATACATTTGTTAGTAGGCATCCGCCGGTAAGAAAAAAAGTAATTTAAACCAATTTTCAAAAATCCTACAACCGTCCGTATCTTCTGAATTAATCATAAATTAGTCTGTATCTCCTAAAATAATTCTGGACGATCAAAATTTAGTGTGAGAAACCCTACCTTAAAATACACCCCCGTTATCACGCTAAGGCAATTCATTTTTTTTCTACTTATAATTTGAAAATGTAATCAATTACCGTATCAATTTGCATTCAAAAAAAAACATTTTTAAAAATAATATAGTTTTTTTAATTCTGTTCGCAAAATTCTTTCAAAATTCTCGAAGATAAATTTTTGAACTGACAGGGATTTCTCCAATCGACTTTTTTGAAATATGGGTTCTGGTATAAAATGTTTTTTGACAATCTAGTGGCCTTGTCTTATTTTTAAACAAAAACTGATCGTTGAAAAAAAAAATCGAAAGATAGGTTCCGTGACTGCACCAAACACGAATTTGAGTATTTCGTAAACATGAGTTTTAAAAACCGATAAGATTTTTTTCTCCAGGAAAATTTCACAAAAAAACTATCGATATGCGTTCAAAATTAGATAAAAGTCATTATGTTTTGGTAGTAGAAATACATTTTCAAGCGAACTGTCGCTACAACAACCGAATATGAGAATCTCATACTGAATGACTGGAATCACATCAATTCTAAAGTACTCGAGCAATTGATATCGTGGCTTATAAGGTCTTAATTTCGATATAATCTTGCATTGTTTTCCGAGTCCTAATTTCACCGAGTCTAACAGACTTTGGAATGATATTTTAGAGTCAAATGTATGAACGTAGACATTTACAAACAGATATAATAATCACCTCTAAGAAATTAAACAAAATTTGAATTGTGAATTACTTTTTTGCTCATTGGTAACGTCTTAGCCTTATCAGTCTTTTTAGTTAGCTTATTTTTATGCAACCAATGGTCAAAATTAAAATGATCATTTTCAAAATCTATAATCTGGCAGCGCATGGCAGTTATGTTGGTGTCATTTTCAAAGAAGATTACTTCTGCTGTTTTACACGTCACGGATAAACCATTAAAGAATATACGGAACAGCAACGGACATGGTTCGATCCTTGTGCGAATCCGCATATTTTTTTCTCCCAATCTGAAGGAAAATTATTTTCATTATATCGTTGTAGACAATCGTTGAAGAAGGACTTTAACCAGTTTAAACAAATGGCAATTGCCTCTAATGTCAATTGCATCAAGTTTCATCAGACGTACTTCATGATTGAGAGTATCAAAAGCTTTTCTTAATCAAGGAAAATAGTATAAGCCTCATTAAAATAGTTTTTCAGTCTTAGTCTTTTAGTTAGTTCAATTACTGCTTCTATGGTTCTAAATTTTGAGCTGAACCCAAGCTGTGAGATTCGCCGGTAGTTTTGTTTTCATCAAAGCCAGATTTGTCTTTTTTGAACTGCATTTCAAATTGCTTTATGCAAAGCAGAAATAGCTCTGTCATTTTCAGAAGAAATGTTGGTTAGAAATGATAGAAATGGGTCAGTGAGGCTTTTAGACGCTTCACTTTTTGATTGCTAATATAGTCACCTCCGGATAGCAATTTGTCAGATATTTATTTAGCAGAGATGACAGATAGTTTTGTTGATCCCCAATGGCGTTGTTCTTTAAGTATATTTTGATTAATTTAGTTCAGATACATAAGATGGAGATACAGTTGGAATATCTGTTCTCAGGTTTTCACCAGTATTGATGAAAAAATCGTTAAATCTATTTTCAACATCTTTTTCAATTGGATTATTTTTTGAATTTTTGGCAGGATTCAAGAATGAGCATGTTTCGATGAGTTGAGTATTTGCCATGGAGCTTTTTGAATTATTTTATGTTTGTCTTGAGTCATCAATACAATTCTTAAACTCAATCAGATCAAATTTTTGTTTATTCAGTTTAATCGCTTGCTCCTTTTCATTAAAAACTTATAAATTTATTCAAAAGTTTACTGTTTTCCATGTTTTTCCTAGCATCTGTGCGCTTTGTTCCGTTTTTTTTCGGAGAACTATTTGGGTCAGAACCAAGATGAATATGGTTTCTTGCTAGGTTTTTTCTTGGTTGAGCCGTATCGGCTCATCACTTTTTGTGAAGAAAGTTGAAATTTTTTAAAGGCTTGCTGACGATATTTCATTAGAACAACCTCATTTTCATTCGCTTCGAATGATTG